GATGAAGGTTTCGGAAAAGAGTTCGACATGCGCGCGCGGCCGACGCGCGAGAGTGGCCCGCATGTTTTTACTTGACGCGGATCGTGCCCACCCAGCGCGCGCGCAACGGCGTGCGAATGATGTCGGCATGCGGCGCCAAAGGCCCGTTTGGCAGAATTCCACGAAGATGCTGAAAAACCAATGGTGTCCTCAAGGGTTCGCAAGAGCGCGCGCCAGTTTTTTGGACAGCTGATGTTGCGAAACCATGTGTTTTGGTATGTTGTTCGGGCATTCGGTTTTGAAATCGCCACGGCGCCTAACAGTCTTGGAAGGATTCCAGCTTGCGCGCGCGTCGACGCGCGCGTGTGCACTTTGTTTTTTGTTTTTTTGTTGCAAGAGAGTCTCGCGGCGGCACGCGCGCAAAGGCGTTCGACCGATTTCGATTTGCGCGCGCGCGAAGCCCGCTGGGTAGTATTATCTGAAAATGCTGGAAAACCTATGGTTTTCTCCAGAATTCACAAGACATTTGTTTTTGTTTTTCCTCTCTCTCTATATATATCTATATAACGAAGGATAATACAACAATTCCGTGCTGCGAAACCATATGTTTATATATATATATATATATTGGACGCTCGATTTGGAAATCCTTCCGAAACCAAAAACTTTTTGAAGGATTTCGGCATGTGCGCGCGACGACGCGCGCGTGAGCATGTCGTCAAATCTTTTATAACGAATTCTTGAAACCTGATGATTTTGGATCAACGAATGCGCGCGCATAGTATTTTCTTCAGATCATGGCAGGGAGGGAGAATCGGTACCGGCTGGGCTGGGATGCTACGAATTCATATTCAGGATGGACGACGGGGCAAAACCATATGTAAATTGCAATGCGAAAAGATGAATCGATGAAGCCGGGTGGTGGTGGTGGTGGTGGTGGTGCATCTTATTTTTTAAAAGAAAAGAAACCTATGTTGTGCAATTTACGTGGTGGAATCTGGGTTGTGTAATCCGTGTTGTGCACTTTGCGTGGTCCAATCTATGCTGTGCAATTTACTTGGGCTGTCTAGAAGCTGTCCTCTCCGCTGCTCGTGCAAACGTCGCACCGTCCCACCCGCAACCTGGTCGCAAGACCTCTTAAGACAGTGACGGTAGGTACTAAATGGCACTTGGCAACGACACCGACGCCGACGACGACAGCGACAACGACGACGACACCACCGACAACGACTACGACGACACCGACAACGTCTCCAACGACTTCGACGACGACGACACCGACGACGACGACGCCGATGCCGACGACGACGACGACGTCGACGATGACAACGCCGCCGACGACGATGCCGACGACGACGCGGACGACGACGAGCTCGACGACGACGACGACGAAGACGAAGGCGGCGACGACGACGACGAAGGCGGAGGGAGGACGACGACGGCGACAACGACGACACTGACGAGGGAGGAGGGAGGACGGCGACGACGCGAACGACGAAGAAGGAGGAAGGACGGCGACGCCGACGACGACAACGACGAGGGAGGAGGGAAGACGACGACGACGACGACGACGACGACGACGACGACGACGAGGGAGGAGGGATGACGGCGACGACGACGACGCAATATTGCGCGCGCGCTTCTGTTGAAAATTCGCGTTGCGAAGCCCTGTGCTTTTGTACGTTTCCGAAAACGCAGGTGTTTGAAAGATTTCGGCATGCGTGCGCGACGACGCGCGCTCGTGCACTTCGTTTTTTCTGTTGCAGAGGATTCTCGCCTCGCGACGGCACGCGCGCGAAGGGCGTTCGACAGATTTCGACATGCGCGCTCGCGAAGCCTTTTTTTTGGGGGGGTTTTGTGTTATATATATATATATACGCATGTAAGTGCGTTCGACAGATTTCGACATGCGCGCTCGCGAAGCCTTTTTTTTGGGGGGGGTTTTGTGTTATATATATATATATATACGCATGTAAGTATATCTCATTAAACAACTGAAAACGCAAGAGCGCGCGCGTAAGCTTTGTTAGAAAATCAGTGTTGCGAAATCCTGTGCCTTTGTCTGTTTTTTGGAAACTCGATTTTGCAATCCTTCCGAAACCGAAGGTCTTTGAGGGATTTCGGCATTCGCGCGCGACGACGCGCGCGTGTGCACTTCGTCTCTTTTTTTGCAAGGGATTCTTGGGAACTTTTGATTGTTGATGAACGAGTACGCGCGCATTGTATTTTTGGGCAGAAGATGGCCGGGGGGGGCCGATACCGGCTGGACTGGGATAGTATGAACTCGCAAGTGGGATGGACATTGGGTCAGAATCCTATGTGTTTTACATCGGTTTCCGCGGGGTCTTGAACCCCCGGGGGGGAGGGTGGTAGAACCTATTCTCTTGTTAGAAAGAACAATTCATCAATGCCCCGCTTGAAATTGTCCACTCTACTGCTCGCGTAAACATCCCACCCGCCCACCCGCAACCAGGTTTGCTAATCCCATGCGGCGGCGATTGCGATGAATGCTTGGCGCTGGCTGGTGCATCTCTGCGGCCGCGACGGCCCGCGCATGCGCGCGCGTGCGCTTTGGCGCGACAGACGCAGCCGCGGTGGCGCTGACCGCTGGGCACATCTCAGCGGGCAATTCACAGCGAGTCGGCGACTTGGGCGCGCGCGGTATCATGGCAACGTCGACAACGGTAGACGCGGTGATGATGGTGGCGGTGCTGGTGACGATGCTGGCAGCGACGACCATGGCCAATGACGGCGCGGATGTTGATCACGCCGACGACGATGACGGCGCCCTCGCGTCGGCGATGCGGGTTTTGGAAAGAGTTCGACATGCGCGCGCGGCCGACGCGCGAAAGTGGCCCGCATGGTATCCTTTGACACGGATTGTGCCCTCCCACCACGCGCGCAAGAGCGTGCGAATGATGTCGGCGTGCGGCGCGAGAGGCCCGCTTGGCAGAATTTAGTGAAAGTGTTGAAAAAACGCATTGTTTCCCTGAAAATTCACGAAACTGCGAGCGCAAGCTTTATTTCGTGGTTGTCAACTGGCGTTGCACAACCACGTGTATATATATATATATATATATATATATTCCCGGGACACTAGATTTCGAAATCGGGACGGAACCTGATGTTTTTGGAAGATTTCGGCGTGCGCGCGCGACCGCGGGCGCGTGTGCAGTTCGTCCTATTTTTTTGCAAGGGGTTCTTGTGGCAACGCGCGCGCAGGGGCGCTCGAACGATTTCGCCATGCGCGCGTGAAATGCCCGCTTGGTACAAATCATAAACACGTTGCAACAACCTACGGGTTTTAAAGGATGTCTAAGGGCGCGGGCGTAAGCTTCTGTTGCAAATTCTTGCTGCGAAGCATTTTTTTTGGTGTCTTCGGGACATTCGATTTTGACATCCTTGCGTCGCTCGTGGCTTTTGACGGATTATGGCATGCGCGCGCGACGACGCGCGCGTGTGCACTTCGTTTTTTTTGCCCAAAGAATTTTTGAAAACTTACAAGCTTGTTGATCAACGATTGCGCGCGCATAACAGTTGTTGTTGACGATGATTGGGGGTGCCGATGCCGGCCTGCCTCGGATGGTACGAACTCATATTCAGGATGGGCGATGGGCCACAATCGCATGTAATTGCAATACGAAAAAGGAAACCGTTAATTCTGGGAGGGGTGTAGATCCTTTTTCGTATTAAAACAAAGAATTTACGTCGAGGCGGCGATGAGGCGTTGACGGGGCGGCGACAGCGACCGCAAGGCGGCGGACCCGACAACAGAACCCAGTCGACGGCTGGTGACAAGGCGGCGACGGGCCGGCGACGGCGACCACAAAGCGGTGACTCGGACAACGGGACCCAAACGACGGGCGGCGCCGAGGCGGCGACGGGACGGCGTCGGCGACCACACGACGGCGGACCCGACAACAGAACTCAGACGACGGGCAGCGCGGCGGCGACGGGGCGGCGGCGGCGACCATAAGGCGGCGGACTCGGCGGCGGAACCCACACGACGGGTGGCGACGAGGCGGCGACGACAAGGCGGCGGACCCGACAACGGTGCCCAGAGGACGGGCGGCGACGGGGCGGCGACGGCGACCACAAAGCGGCGGACCCGACAACGGCGCCCAGAGCACGGGCGGCGAGGGGCTGGCGGCGGCGACCACAAGGCGGCGGACCCGACAACGGAGCCCAATTCCCTAGAAAAACGTAGGAACCCGTGAGTGCAACCACTGCCTGGGGAATGTGTGTCCGAGAGAATGAGATCTTGCAATCCGTACGTGTGAATGCAGACAGCGGCTCTGGTATCCATGCAGTCGCCCGCTCGCTGTGCACGCACATGCCAGCATGAATTTATCCGGGTAGTATACTACTGGAAATAGCACTTGCGCGATTGCACACGCATATATGCGTTTTCACCAGGGGTACCAATCATAGCGCTTGCCTGCCGACGTTTCAAATCACAATTATGTCCATGCGTACATCAGCGTATCTGGGCACACAGCTGATTGCACTAGTGTGCGTACTCTCCATCTGCCCTCTGGACGTAAATGGTCTGGTCTAGAGTACCATCTCTTCCAAAACGATCGCTTCCCCACGATGCCTTCAATGCCTTCAACACTTCTAGGGGAAAGGTGGTGAATGGTTGGATGAGGAAAGGATTCCGCAAAACATATCAAGAACCCCGTCGTCCATCCCCTTGGCTTCTCCTGTTGTTTATGCATCCAACCTTCTTTCGTCCTCTCTCCTGCTCCATATGATGTACCGATATCGCTACCAATGCAGATGCAAGAACATGTGAAACCGACTCGAACACGCGCATCTTCTTTGCCAGCATAAATACAATGTCAGGCTTCCCCGCAGTATGGTTATCAATTTCCCCTCCTATCACTCTTGCTCCGCCTGCCTCTGCTTCATCATCCTTCTTTTTGTCCTGGAACGTATTCTGCTCCCGCGTGGCCCTTCCTTTCATGACCCTGTACTTCACCTCGTCATTATCAGCTGCCCCCGCAGGCGTGAGCGTCGGCCTTCTGACCGCCGCGAAGACAATAAAGCTCCCACTGGGCTGCAAGCTGGCGCGTCGGCCAGGATGATGTGCACCCTGTGGGGAACAGGTCCTCGCGCGTGGGAATCATCAAACACACGCTCCGCACCTCCCGCTGCCCAGCGTGGCGAGCTGATTGCACCCGATGCGGCCGAACTCCAGCTGCCTGCCGTGAAAACATATCATGGCCTCTGCACCGGGCGTTGCACCTCTGCGGCGGCACCTCCACGCCGGGCAATACCTCTCAACACATGCCGGGGAGACGTAAGACCCGGGTGCGACCATGAAACTGACGAGACCGAATCTGAAATTTGACGCGACCTCCCGCTGCAGACATCCCACGACACCCAGAAAGTGAAAATCCAGGACGCGCCCGGCAAAAGACGTCGGCAAACCCGCGTTCCGGATTACTCGAGTCTTACGTTTCCCCGAGCATGACCTGGCAATTCAAGAACTCGCGACGAGGAGGAGGAGGAGGGGGAGCAGGAGGAGGTGGAGGAATGGGCCGCCCATGCTCGATCATCGTAGGTTTCGACCTCTGCCTTTTTGCAGGAAGGGCCGCCTCGCCAGGCCTCTGGGTGACGGCCCCGTGCGTGTCCCTCGCTGTGCCGCAGGCGCCAGACCGAGCGCCTCCGGGCCCCAGAGGGAGCTCTCGGTGCTGAGCACTGTGCTGCTCGTGGGGGCCCCCCCAAAATCCCCGGCCTGCTGGTCTCTTGGGTGCCCTCGGGTGCTCCCAGGACTCCCCGCGCGGCGTCCTCGGAGACTCGGGAGGCGCTGTGAGGGAGACACGCTCTCGGCGCGCCTCGAGGTGGCGCCAGAGGGCGCGTCCTGGATTCGTTCCGGCAAACTACTCCCTTGGGCCGTCCTGGAGGCTCCAGGAGCGGCTCCGCCAGGCCAGCGTCGTCCACATGTGCTAGATAGGTTTGTTCGGTGACTTCGACATGGTCGCGCTGTCGTTTCCACGCCGCGGAGCGCGATGCTGTAACTTGGCGGCGCGCACAAGGGGGTAGGGGGAGGGGGGAAGGCTTCTTAGAAGGAGTCTGCTTCTTAGAAGGCGCCGGCCTTACATCTAGAGGTAAGGCCCGCGCCTTCTAAGAAGCAGGGGCGCTTCTTAGAAGCCTTCCCCCCTCCCCCTACCCCCCTCTGCGCGCCGCCAAGTAACACGCCCAGCCCAGCTTGCACCTCCGAGGCAGCACTCGCGCCAAGAGCGATGAAAGAATGCAAGCCCGAGGCCCGGGGCCCGCAGGCAAACATATACCTTCAAGCGAGCGGCGCGCTGCCGATGAGCTTGCGGCACAGGGGGACAATACGTGCAGGAGGAGCGGCCGTGCACCACGCGCCAACCGGCAGGACAAGGCGCGCGAGAGCGAGGAGGCCGAGAGGTTGAGATCGAAATTGAAATTCAGAAAGATTGAGAGAGAGAGAGAGAGAGAGAGAGAGAAAACAAAAAGAGAGAGGGAGAGAGAAAGAGAAACAAACACACAAAACAGACAACATCCGGGACAGAACGGGGCTGATACAGCGCCATGCGGCTGACGTCCGCCGCCGTGCCTCTGGGCACGGCGTGGGCGTGTCCTCAGGTCCTTGGCCTAACCTCTGGAGCCTCGGTCCTCCGTCCCGATGAGCCTGATACTGGGCATCGCTCGGACGTCCATTCCCTGTGTTTTTTTCGGTTTCGTGCGCGGTCTTTTCGCCAAATGATCAAGGATGCTCCTCGGTGGTCCTCACCGAAGGAAAAAAATGCACACGCCCGAGCGATGCCAAGGATGCCAGGACCCTAGCTTGCCAGATTCGGCGGGCGTGCCGCGTGCCCCTGGGCTCCCCCGCGGCTTCTTGTCGCGTGCCTGCTCCGGACCCACGGAGGACCCCAGGGCGGGCCCAGCCTCCGAGAAGCCCCCCAATTTGGACGCCCGAAATGGGCACGGAAAGACTGGGCACAATGCCCAACAACAAATGTTGTCCCGAACCAACAGCGGCCACTGCTGGGCAAGCGGCCTTCTGTCTCAAATGGACACAGGCCGCGGCGGCGCGGACAGCGAGTCCTGTGCAAAATGAACAGGGACTGCTGTTGGGCATCGTACCCATTCTTTCCGTACCCATTCCGTTCGTGCCGACCCAAGACGTGCCAAGGGGGCCCCGACTCGCCGAAAGATCGCCCCAAGACGCGCAAGATGGCCTCCAGTCGGCCCAAGAGGCCTCCAAAATGCCCCAGGAGGCCTCGAAGATACCTCCCAAGAAGGCCCCAAGAGGCAACCCTCATTGATTTTACTTAAATTTTTGGCAGATGTTGGCCTCCTCGCCTTTTCGGCTTCCCGACGCTCCAAGACGGCCCAAGAGGCCCTCAAGACCACCCCAAAACAGCCAAAGAGGCCTCCGACAGGGCCCCAAGACGGCCTAAGAACGCCCCAAGACGGTGCTCAAGACGGCCCAAGAGGGCCCCAAGAGGGGCCCAAGAGAGAGAGAGAGAGATAATATATATATATATATAGAGAGAGAGAGAGAGAGAGAGAGAGAGAGAGAGAGAGAGTATGAATCGAACAGCCGAGGCTTCCGCCCGAAGAGCCCCCCAGGATGCCCCAAGAGGCGCCCAGGAGGCCCCAAGAGGCCCCCAAGAGGCCCCCAAGAGGCTCCCCAGAGGCCCCCAAAGGCCCCCAAGATTCCCCGAGAGTCCCAAAAAGGCCCCCCAGAGGCCTCCAAACTGCCTCCAATAGGCCGTCGAGAGGCCTCCAACAAGAGCCCAAAGAACATCATCCAATAGGTTTAAGACCCACAACTCAGGCACGGTGGCGGGATGGGCCGAAGGCCTTTGGATAGCTATTTTATGTATGTCTATATATATATATATATATATATATATGTGTATGTATGTATGAATGTGTGTGTGTGTGTGTGTGTATATATATACTAGAACCACGCGCGCGCTTCGCGCGCGCTTAGGTTCTGTCGAGTCACAGACCCAGGAATCGTTGTGAGAAGAAATTGGTGACGCGAAGCGTCGTGGGGGCGTCCTTGGACGTCTGGGGTCTCCTGGGGCCTCTTGAGGGGCCTCCTGGGGGCCTCCTGGCGGCCTCTTGGGGCGGAAGGCTCGAGCTTGCGGTTCGTGGTCCCCCTCTGGGCCCCCTCTTGGGCCCGTCTTGGGGCCCTCTTGGGCCATCTTGGGCGCCTCTTGGGCCGTCTTGGGGCCCTCTTGGGCTGTCCTGGGGCCCTCTTGGAAGCTTCTTGGGCCGTCTTGGGGCGGTCTTGGGCGCCTCTTGGGCCGTCCTGTAACGTCGGAAAGCCCAAAAGACAACTTTGTTGAAACATGTACGTTTTACGAAGGGAATGGGCCAATTTTTGCGTCTAGGGGCCCTCTTGGGACGCATGTTGGAGGCTTCTTGGGGCCTCTTGGGGGCGTCCTTGGACGTCTGGGGTCTCCTGGGGCCTCTTGAGGGGCCTCCTGGGGGCCTCCTGGCGGCCTCTTGGGGCGGAAGGCTCGAGCCTCTTGGGGCGGAAGGCTCGAGCTTGCGGTTCGTGGTCCCCCTCTGGGCCCCCTCTTGGGCCCGTCTTGGGGCCCTCTTGGGCCATCTTGGGCGCCTCTTGGGCCGTCTTGGGGCCCTCTTGGGCTGTCCTGGGGCCCTCTTGGAAGCTTCTTGGGCCGTCTTGGGGCGGTCTTGGGCGCCTCTTGGGCCGTCCTGTAACGTCGGAAAGCCCAAAAGACAACTTTGTTGAAAATGTACGTTTTACGAAGGGAATGGGCCAATTTTTGCATCTAGGGGCCCTCTTGGGACGCATGTTGGAGGCTTCTTGGGGCCTCTTGGGGGCGTCCTTGGACGTCTGGGGTCTCCTGGGGCCTCTTGAGGGGCCTCCTGGGGGCCTCCTGGCGGCCTCTTGGGGCGGAAGGCTCGAGCTTGCGGTTCGTGGTCCCCCTCTGGGCCCCCTCTTGGGCCCGTCTTGGGGCCCTCTTGGGCCATCTTGGGCGCCTCTTGGGCCGTCTTGGGGCCCTCTTGGGCTGTCCTGGGGCCCTCTGGGAAACTTCTTGGGCGGTCTTGGGGCGGTCTTGGGCGCCTCTTGGGCCGTCCTGTAACGTCGGAAAGCCCAAAAGGCGACTTTGTTAAAAATGTACGTTTTACGAAGGGAATGGGCCAATTCTTGCGTCTAGGGGCCCTCTTGGGACGCATGTTGGAGGCTTCTTGGAGCCTCTTGGGGGCGTCCTTGGACGTCTGGGGTCTCCTGGGGCCTCTTGAGGGGCCTCCTGGGGGCCTCCTGGCGGCCTCTTGGGGCGGAAGGCTCGAGCTTGCGGTTCGTGGTCCCCCTCTGGGCCCCCTCTTGGGCCCGTCTTGGGGCCCTCTTGGGCCATCTTGGGCGCCTCTTGGGCCGTTTTGGGGCCCTCTTGGGCTGTCCTGGGGCACTCTTGGGAGCTTCTTGGGCCGTCTTGGGGCGGTCTTGGGCGCCTCTTGGGCCGTCCTGTAATGTCGGAAAGCCCAAAAGGCAACTTTGTGAAAAATGTACGTTTTACGAAGGGAATGGGCCAATTTTTGCGTCTAGGGGCCCTCTTGGGACGCATGTTGGAGGCTTCTTGGGGCGTCTTGGGGGGCGTCCTTGGACGTCTGGAGGCCATCTTCAGCATCTCGGAGCCCTCTTGGAGGCCTCTTGGAAGTTTCTTGGGCCGTCTTGGGCGTTTCTGGGGCCGTCTTGTCTGACCGGGAAGGCCTCCGGCAAGCCCCGACGAGCCTCCGGGCCCCCCGGGGTGCACATTTGCGGTCGGGGTCCCGGCCCCGGGCCCCCGGACCCGGTGCGCCGTTATATGTATATGTGGTCTACCTGCGCGTACGACTCCCACGCTCCAAACGTTCACAGGGGAACTAGCCGCGCGCAGTCTTCACAGGGCGGACATATCGCCAGCAAGGGGGGCCGGGGTGAGGGTGGGGCAGCGCGAGGACGAGGACGAGGAGCGGGAGGGGACGAGGAAGGACGAGCAGAGGCACGCGCGGACCAGGCCATGAGCTGGGGGCGCAGACGCTCGCCAACACAGGCCGAAATACCACGAATCACGATCTGCTGGGCCTAATTACCCCTAGCCACCACCACCACCACCAGACCAGGGGCGCCTGTTTGATAATCTCGGCTCTCGAGCGGCCGTTCGGGACGATCCCGGCACCCCGGGAGGCCTCTCGGCGAGGCGCAGCTGCTGGAAGGCATCCCGTGGCTTGAAAGCCGCCGGGAGAGGCCAACAGACGGACAAGAGTGCACGCCCCGGCTCGAAACCGCCAGACCTTCCTTGCGGGGTGCGAGGCTGGGGTCGCGCCCCCCCTCGGTCTGCAGTGGAGGTTGCGACAAGCAGGCCCAGGACCGCACCGGGCGCGCACAGGGCTGCGGGGAAGCGAAGGAGGAGGAGGAGGAGGAGGAGGAGGAGGAGGAGGAGGAGGAGGAGGAGGAGGAGGAGGAGGAGGAGGAGGAGGATGACGAGGAGGAGGAGGAGGACGAGGAGGAGGAGGAGGAGGAGGAGGAGGAGAAGGAGGAGGAGGAGGAACAGGACGAGGGGCCCGAGGGCTGTGCCCAGGGGCCGGCTGCCCGCGGGCCTCTGCCAGAGGCCGCGCCAACACGGCGCGTGTAGCCCCAGCGAGTGCGAGGAGGAGGAGAGGGTCGGCGACGACGCCACGCCCGCGGCCCCCGGCGGCGCCGCCGCCAGGGGCCTTCTGCGTGGCGCCGAGCGGGGTGCCGGGAGCAGGAGGCCCTCAAGGCTCGGGCAGTGTCAAAAAGGGGGGCCACCACTGGGGGGAGAGGGGGGTGGATAGGCTCAGGGTGGGATGGGAAGAGGAGGCGGGGGGGAGGGAGAGGGCGGGAAAAGCAAGCCCGAGCCCGAGCCCGAGCCCGAGCGGGAGAGAGAACGGGGGAGGGGGTGGGCAGCGTCCTCGCCTCTCCAATATTGCAGGGGGTCCGAGACGGCTCAAGAGGCTCCCAACTTTGTCCCACGGCAGCCCCCGAGCTCCCAACAGAGGCGCCCTAGAGGGCCCTTAAAGGGCAACTCGAAGAGGCCCTGTAAGCCAGCGCACAAAAAGGCCCGCCGAGAATGCAAGCAGGCCCCAAAGAGGCCTCCCAACGGGCCCCGGGAGCTCCCGATCGCCCCCCAGGAGGCTCCCTCGAGCGTCCAAGAGGCCGAGCCGAAGGCTAACTATACGAAGATCGAAACAAGAGTCAAGCTGGACACGCGCTCGACACCTGAGCGAGCACCGCCTTTCAGACGTGACTCGCTGCGTATAAACCTGCACGCACCCCCAGGCCGCAGAGGCACGCCCTGCTCCCCTCTTCTCCGCGTCGCCCTCCTCCCGCTCTCTCTCTTTCGGCCTGCCGCCGCCGCTCCCCTTCCCTGCGGCCCACCCCTGCCCCTCCCGAGAGAGGAAACTCAGCAGAGTGAGGGGGCCGGAAGGTCTTACGCCATCCCCGAGATGCCCTCCTCTGCCCCTCCTGAGATGACAGAACCAGCAGAGCGAGGGTGCCGAGTGGTCTTACGCCAATCCCTGGGTGCGCGGGTGAAGTGGGACTCCGCTGCCTGGATTCTGCTTGTCTGTTGTTGCTTGCTGTCGTCGTCCTCGCCCGCGCCCCTCCCCCCCCCCCGCGACCCGCCCACGTTGCTCTGACGGAGAAATCCGCGCCGCTGACGACCCCGCCGCCTCCCCGCTCTTCTTCCGCACTTGGCGGGGTGCTTCGTGCCCCCTCGTCCTCCTTCTGACCCCCGTCCTCGTTCTCTCTTCCTCTGTTGCTGCTTCCCACAGTCGGCCTGTATCAAAGGATGGGCGTAAGAATGCAAGAGCCTCGGACGCCCATTTCGAAGCTTCTCGAGCGGAGCGCGGCCGACGAGAGTGGCCAAGGATGCCGAGGAGGCAGGGATGCAAGGGTACCCTTGGGAAGGGTGCCCATCCTTACTATGCGGGTTGACTGTAATCCTTGCCCTCCTCTTTCTCTGCTCTGCCTCTCCTGCTGCCGTTGTTCCTGCCACTGCCGCCGTTGCCCTTCCTCGCCAGCTGCCCGCGCGCGCCCCCCAGGGCAGCACCGAACGCATCCTCGAAGTCGGCACCATCGCCGAGCTCGCGCGCCCCCGCCGCGCCCTGCGTGGGGCCGGGCTCTCTCTCTCTCTCTCTCGAGGTGCCCGCATATCGAAATCAGACCAACTCGGCCAAGAACCGGGCTTGCCCCGTGGCCTTGGAGAAGACAATTGAGATCCCGTGCTCAGCCTGGCTCAGTCCTACCAGAGTCGTAAGTTTCACCTACTCAGCGTTTCTGCTGGCTTGACCCCATCCCCTGGCTGGGAGGCTGCCCATGGGACCAGCTTTTCATTCAAAAGGCCTGGCTGGGGTGCCTAGAACTTAGAACAATTAGTCTTTCCGAAGCATCCGACGTCACGACTTTTTCGAGACGCGGGCGCTTGATCTCCAGACTCCAAACCCCTTCCCTAGGACAAGTTCCTCGTCCCAGCTGGCCTTCGGGCGAGCTCGGAGGCTGCCCTTGAAGGGGAGAATTGGCTAAACACCTCTGTGCTTGACTTTTCAAGACGCTGGAGGTCTGGGCTTCCGCGGAGGTTTCGGGGGTCCAGGTACTCTTCTAGGGTTAGGTCGGGCATGTCCTCCTGCAGGTGGACGCTGGACGACACATTCAAAATAGCGAAGATATGCTCCGACATTATCAACAAATTATCAAAACATCGTTCCCAGACGATGTTTCGAATCTCTTTGAACATTTCTCCTGTAAGGACACGCCCGACTTACTTCTAGGGTGCGCTTCGGCTACAGCACTTCGAGGGGGGATCCCGCCAGGGCGGCGAGGACGCTCTGGGAGGCCCAGCGAATTCATCGAACACGCTTTTTGCGTCGGCGGCTAGGCAGGGGGTGACTGCGCTGGCGATGAGGGGCTTGAGCGGGAATGCCGTTGGAGCAAATAGTGCCACCAAGCAAAAGGAGGAGCGAGGGAATTCACCACACACACGCCGACGTCGCACGCGAGGCGACGAACAGAGGAGCACCCGCTGGCATACGCAGTTTGATAGGGGGCTGGGAGGCCCAACCAGAAGCTTCGCCTAAGGCGAAGCCCGTATGCAACTCTGTTGTACCGTAGTAACGATAGTCCCAGAAGTAGGAGATCGTCGCGGAAGCGACGGGCCATGACAAGCGAATCTGTTTTCGGTCTCAATGGCAAGTAATGTGCCTCGCGATGAGGCGCAGTCATGTGTTGGCGGCCGGCCACTTGAGAACAAACGGCCGCGGACAAACGCTCGCTGTCTCTCGCCTTCGCCCCAGCCTCCTCTAGAGTTGCGCAACAACTTTCGGAGCTCCGCGCGGACTTGTTGGATCCACGCTGGACCCTCTCTCTGGCGCGCGGAGCGCGCCAGGGGCAGCGCTGGAGGCGCCGCCAGGGGGCCCAGCGCCGATCCAAAAAAGTCCGCGCGGAGCTCCGAAAATTATGTTCGTACAGTTTTTGGTTCCTTCGCGCATCGATCCCCAATCGCCCATTCATGGCCGAGATGGGGCTGGATGGCCCGCCCGAACCACAACCGTATGAGTTCGCTATCGGCGTCGGTGTGCGCAGCCCCAGACCCCCTGACGCCGTGTTTTTTTCGCCACGTCGACCCCTGGAGGTCTCGACCCATTCCCCGGGACCGGTTTTTCACCCCGAACAACTTTTTGACGGTCCCGGGGCCCGGCGGCAGCAGCACGAGGACGACGAGGCGGCCGAACAGGAGGGGCGCCCCGCCGCCGACGCCGCCGCCGCCGAGGACGACGACGAGGCGGCCGACGGCAGCAGCAAGGGGGGGCGGTGACAGGCCCTCGGCCCGCCCTTCCATGTCCTGCGCCCCCCCCCTCTCCCCCTTCTTCGTCCTCATTCGTCTCTCTCCTCCTCACTCTGCTCACCCTCGCTCTCCCCATCATCCTCTTGCTCCCCGTCCTTCCCCTGGGGATGAGGATGAGGATGAGGATGAATATGAGGATGAGTATGAGGAGGAGGAGGAGGAGGACAGGGAGGAGGAGGAGGTGGAGGAGGAGAGGAGGAGGAAGAGGAGGAGGAAGAGGAGGAGGAGGAGGAGGAGGAGGAGGAGGAGGAGGAGGAGGAGGAATAAGAGGAGGAGAGGAGGAGGAGGAGGAGGAGGAGGAGGAGGAGGAGGAGGAGGAGGAGGAGAGAGGACAGGAGCGAGGACGAGGAGGAGGATCAGGAGGAGGAGCACGAGGACGAGGAGGGACGAGGACGAGGAGGAGGAGGAGGAGGAGGAGGAGTAGGAGGAGGACGAGGACGAGGCGGAGGTCCTGCTCGCCCCCCCCCAGCTCGAGACGAAGGCCGCCCGCGCCTGGCCGGCCGCGGCGCCGCGCCACCGCCCCGCCCGCGCCCGCCGCGCCCCGCCGCGCCAGCGCACGCGCCGCGGCCGCGCACGCCGCCGCGCGGCCGGCGCCGCGGGAGCCTCTTGGGGGGGAGCCCCGGCGCGAGAGAGCGCGCGCCCCGGTGCGGAGCGTCCTCCTCCTCCTTCTCTCCTCCTCCTCCTGCTCCTCCCTCCTCCTCCTGCTCCTCTTTCCTCCTCCTCCTCCTCCTCCTCCTTCTTCTCCTCCTCCTCCTCCTCCTCCTCCTCCTCCTGCTCCTTCTCTTCTTCCTCCTCCTCCTCCTCCTCCTCCTCCTCCTCCTCGACCCGTCATGAGGACGCACGGTTTACCGGCACGGCCCGCGGAAACGAAGCCAGAGCCGGGTCGGCCCAGCGGGGCCCCTCGGCAGCCCGCGGGCCCGAGAAGAAGCCTCCTGAGGCTCGGCGGGGCCGCGGGGCCTCCCAAAAAGGGAAAGAGGCGGGGGGCACGCCCTTTTGCCTGGCGGCGAGGCGCGCCGTCCTTGGCGTCGGCGGCGCGTGCCCTCGTATCACGAGGACGCACGGCAAGGATGCCAGGGCCTTGGAGGGCCATGTTGAAACTCCGCGGGCGGGGCGCGACCAGCGAGAGATGCCGAGGATGGGCCGAAGGGGGGGGGGATGCAAGGGTGACCCTGGAGAGTCGCTCACCCTTGACGTGCGGGCTCACCGTATCTGGGTCACGGCGGGCGAGGCCGTGGCCTCTGCGCCTGGCGCGTGGCCCGCCCCCGCCCCCACCCCCAGGCTGATCTCGCCATCGCTCGGACGTCCATTCCCCGTGCATCTTTCGATTTCGTGTGAGCATTTTTCGCTAAATGATCAAGGATGCTCCTCGAGGGTCCTCGCCGAGACGTCCGAGCGATGCCAAGTGATGGGATCTGGGATCTTCCTCCCCCCCTCCCGTGGGTTCTGGAGGGGTGCTGCCGTGGAGCCCTCTTTGCCGCCGCCGTCGTCGTGGTCGCCCCCCTGTGGGTGTGGCGTGGTGTCGCAGTGCTTCAGGGAGCGGGAGTTCGTCGTCGTCGTCGTCGTCGTCGTCGTCCCCTCATCCCATCTGGGGGGGCTGCGGGGCCCTGGGACCCATCCCATCTAGGGGGGGGGGCGCGAGCGGGGAGCCCTGAAGCACACACACACACACACGCACATGCACATGCACACGCACATGCACATGCACATGCACAGGCACAGACACAGACCGACAGACGCGCACACGCACACAACACACACAACACACACACACACACACACACCACACAACACTCACAGCATACGCACGCTGTCATGTGTGTGGATGCATGTGTGTGCTGCGAGACAGTAAAGCATTGCGAGAGATGCGGAGGAGGAACAGGGGGGAATCCTTGTAGTCGGCGTCTTTGTGCGCGGGTGGTGGCGTACAGTTGTGCGTGATCGTTCGTGAATGTGTTTTGGGGGCCCCTGCGGTGAGACGGAGCCACGACAGGGACGAACTCGGAACAGGACAGACCGGGGATCTCTGAGATCTGGCGGTGCCCCAGGAATCCCTCTGGAGCCCATGCGGCGTCCGACCCCGTTCGGCCGCCAAATGGGCAGCCGAGTGACGGACCTCTGGGGGTCCCCGCCAGGCCGGGGGGGCATTGGAGAGCTCCTCGGGACGAAAAGCCCGCCAGGCCGGGGCCGTGGGTCGAGGCCTCCGGGGGTCGACGTGGCAGAGAAGCACGGCGCCGGGCTTCTGGGAGGGGAGATCGAGACTCGAGGGTCCAGGTTTTGCGTTCTTCAACTTGCCTTTTCGGGCCTCTCAGGGCGTGCTCGCCGCCACGGCTGGATTCGCCTCAAGGTCGTACCCAAAACGCACCATTGGAGAGGTCCGTGGGAGACGGGGGATGAAGAAGGGGGATGAGGATGAGGAGGAAAAGGAAGGTTGATGACGATGATGACGACGATGCCGCTGCCGCTGCTGATGATGATAATGATGATGCTGCTGCCGACGATGACGACGATGACGATGATGATGATTATGATGATGATGACGACGAAGATGATGATGATGAAGACGATGGCGATTGACGGTGTGATGATGATGGTAATGATGATGAAGATGATGATGACGGCGATGACGATGACGATGACGATGACGATGCTGTTGCTGATGATGACGATTATGATGATGGCGATGACGATGACGATGGCGATGACGATGATGATGAGGAGGAGGAGCAGCAGGAGGAGCAGTTGGAGCAGGAGGATGAGGATCGCGGTTCGAGGGTCCAGGTGTTGTGCGCTTTTGCAGTGTACATCTTCGGGCCGACACATTGATGCTGCAATACAACCTCGCGTCCCACGGCCCACGCCTCCTCCTCACGTGTCCCTGCAGCTAGGTCGGGCATGCCCCCCTGATTGCAGGCGGATGCTGGACGACGGATTTGGAAAAGTCAGAAAATTTGCAAGAAGTGCCAAACAAACAATCGAAACATCGTCCCCAAACTATTTTTTGGCTATCCCTGAATCCGCCGATCCGGCGTGTGAGTTTCTGAGAGCGTGGACTTGAGCTCGCTCAAGTTTCGCTCTGCAGGGGGGGGGGCGCGTTCTTTCCGACGTCATTTCCGACGTTTTTCGGTACACGGGGATATTTCCGACGTCCTTTCCGACGTCTTTCGGTACCCGGGGACAAGGGGGGTGTAGAAAACTCCACTTCCGCAGCCCCCCCGGATCGGCGGCACCGGCCGGAGGCCAGCCCAATATTCCTCCCGTAGAGGGGCAGGCCCGACTTCACCCTACGATTCTGTCGGGCGTGTCCCCCCACAGGGGGATTTTCGACGAGAAAACAAAAAAAATACCCCCAAAATGCCCCCCAAAAGCTCAAAGCATACTCAAAACATGGTCCCCGGACTATTTCTGGACTATTTTTGGACTATTTTTGGGGTATTTTAAATTTCTCGTCGAAACTCCCCCTGTAGGGGGGCAGGCCCGACGTCACCCTGCGAGCCCGCCGCCTCGATTATGTCGGGCGTGTCCCCCCACAGGGGGATTTTCGATGACAAATTAAACAATACCACCAAAATACTCCAATATTTCTGGGTTATTTTTGGATTATTTCTTGGGTATCTTGTATTTCCCGTCGAAACTCCCCCCGCAGGGGGGCAGGCCCGACGTCACCCTGCGAGCCCGCCGCCTCGCTGCGAGGGCGCGCCGCCCTCGGAGCCGACCCACGCCCCGCGGGCGCTCGCACGTCCATTTCCCGTGTGTTTTTCGGTTTCGTGCGTGTTTTTTTTTGCTCGATGGTCCAGGATGGTCCTCGATGGTTCTCGCCGAGAACAAATGCACACGTCCGAGCGATGCCAAGTGAATATTCCCCCTGCAGGGGGGCAGGGCCCGACCTCACCCTGCGAGCCCGCCGCCTCGCTGCGAGGGGGCGCCGCCCAAAAATATTCCAAAAAGGTCGGAGTATCCTCCGACCTTTTGGAACATTTTTGGGGTATCTTTTATTTTTCGTCGAAAATCCCCCTGTAGGGGGACACGCCCGACATAAGAATACTCCCCCTGCAGGGGGGCAGGGCCCGACGTCACCCTGCGAGCCCGCCGCCTCGCTGCGAAGGGCGCGCCGCCCTCGGAGCCGACCCCCCCGCCCCGCGGGCCTGCCGTGTCCCGGCGAGGGGCCCGCTCGGCCCCGGCCCTCTGCCCTGCACCGCTGCGGCGCGCCGTCTCAGGTCGGGCCTGCCCCCCTGCAGGGAGATTTTCGACGAAAATAAAAAAAAGTGCCCTCAAAAATAATCCAAAAATAGTCTGGGGACTATTTTTGGAATATTTTTTGACCTACAGGGAGACTTTCGACGAAAAATGAAAAAACATACCCCCAAAAATAATCCAAAAATAGTCGGGCCTCCCCCCTGCAGGGAGATTTTCGACGAAAAATAAAAAAATACCCCGACAACTATCCCAGTGCGACCCTACCTAGGAGTTGGAGCCTCTAGGAGAGCAACATTAGTACAGTACATATAAGTACGCACACAGGGCCTGCCCCCCTACAGGGAGATTTTCGACGAAAAATAAAAAAATACCCCCAAAAATAATCAACAAAAAAAGTCCAAAAATAGTCTGGGGACTATCTCTTGAGTATGTTTTGACCTTGTTGGGGCATTTTTGGGGTATTGTTTTATCTTTCATCGGAAATCTACAGGGTTTCGACGAAAAATAAAAAAGATACCACCAAAATAATCCAAAAATAGTCGGGGGACTATTTTTGAATAGTTTTTGACCTTTTTTGGGGTATTTTTGGGGTATTTTTTATATTTCATCGAAAATCCCCCTGTAGGGGGACAGGCCCGACTTCAGCGTAGTCAAGCACACGAGGCACGTTATTCCCAAATCCGTGCTTAGAGGGCAGAGAACCCACCCCGATAGCGAAACGCTTCCAGACGGCTCGCGACGCGTTCAGGATTCCCCCAGCCGGCCACCAAGAAGCCTCACATGCCCAACGCACAACCTGATAAAAACAGCGGCCGCCCCTGCAGCTCCGCACCGCGAAAGACCACTCGGTCAGTCGACAACGGCGCGCAATTATGGGCCGGCGGAGTGAGCGAAGCGATTCGATAACCACCCCGACATGCGAAGCCGTTTAGTAAACGCACCCAAAGAAGGAATCAAACAAGGCAAAATTGTGTAATGAACGCCCAGGGCCGTTTAATAAACGCCAATTGTCCAGTTCGGGTGTTTTTTCCTCCCTTGAGTGTTAGCACTGAAGGGGTCCTAGCGGAAATAAGCAAATTTGGCGAACATTTCCCGCCTATGTTGCTGGCTGGCTGGCCCTGGGTTCCTGGTTCCAGGTTCCCGGATTCCTGGTTACTGGTTCTGGGCCGATTTCGGTGGGTTCCGGGTTCCAGGGTTCCTGGTCGATCTCCTCATTGATCAAACCATCCACTGAATGGTTTTTTTCTCTGATGTTTACGGTGCGAATGTCCTCATTTAGCAGACGAGCCGTTTTCCAGCCTTGTAATGTTCCGAACTGATACAACGAATGTGTGCGGCGCCAA